TTAATTCATCGGTCTTGCAAATGGGACAAAAAAAACTGGTTAACGACCTCTCTATTAGAGTATGTAAAACCTCAATTACCCGGTGTAATACAATACAAAATGATAAGACACGATTAACAGGAGACTGATCGATGACGACAATTTTGCAGATACATTGACACTCTTCAGGATTTAATAGCGACAATGTGATATGTGTTAATTGTATTCTGATTTCTATTTAAAAAAAACGAATGTGAACAATTTTTAAACATGGGAACAATACACAATTGGCCATAAACAAAGACAAGGCTTCTATATTACAGCAGACATTAGGTACATTATTATATGCTCAATGCATGCATATTCCTGCAACTGTCATGTACATAAGCCTCATTTTAATAGTATCTTTATAGGAACAATAATGGGAAATCGCTCGCTTCTACACTACATACTTGTACTTACATGTAAGTATACACGCATGACCATAAGTTACATGTATGAAAAGCATTGCGACTTTGCAATATGACCAATGCACTGAGCGATACCCCTGTCCACAGTGTAAGAACTGGGACGACAGAATCAACGTTTTTGTCTGTCAGTCAACCTTTTAAAGGCCGAAGATGTGAAGAGGTAATTTCCGTCTCGGCGATAGCTTTGACGCATTTCCTGCCAGATGACTGAAGCATGGTTGTAAGTTTTCAATGGTTTCCGCGTTGGATGGATTAGTCAACAAAATGTTGCGTGTACTTAACAAAACCCCGACCCTAAGCTGGGTGTGGTGCAACAATCGGACGCCAGTGACGTCAGCATGATAGAGGGCTCTTACTTGAAAACTCCAGGAGAGGTCAAATAGGAAAGTGGGATGCAGTGATGCACGATCTCGGAACCTTAATTTGCTGATCGAATATTGAATGTTTGGCGTGCCCTGAGCTTCCAATTTGCAAATTCTGGACGGATGGGACAATGAGTGGATAAGAAATGAACTTAACACGCACTGGTCTAAGGTATTACAACAAAAGAGGCGTGTAACTCGGCATAAACCTATTCGTTCTTTTCTGCCTCACAATAAAAGTAATTTTGTTTATGTCAAGAGGGGTCCAGTTTTAATGAATTTTCACACAATAACGACAGTGTATTAGTTACCCCCTATTAAAAGTAATTTCGGTGACAGCGATCATCGCGTCATCTTCAAAGACGACGACGTCAGAACGCACCTGGTCCCGTGTGCCCGCGAACCACGGTTCTGACATCAAGGACTTGAGATGGTTTCCAAACCCAGGTCTACAGGATGACATATTATACCGGGAAACAAGAAATGAAGCTCCCAGGATTCTATGACGGTTATTTCATTATAAACCTCGACTAAATATAGCAAATTCCATTTACGAGGTTTAAACGAATGACGCATGCGGCTGTTAATTATCAAGGATAATTAAGACTCACTTTACGGTATATTATCGAAATGATAATTGGGATATGCAGATACATTACTCGAATTCTTGTGCAATTTCCCAAAACAACGCCACTTAGAAATAGAAATAGCACCATAATGATGTAGTTGGATGAAAAGGTCGTGCGTCTCGCTGGTTAATTTGAGAAATTCTAGACACCACAAATCCCGCTGTCAGACGATAGTCGTTTCTAATGACAATTTCAGTTTTTTTTCTTTCTTTTTTTAATAAGTGCTATCATACTTTGAGTGCAAGAGTACCAGTATCATTCTCTGTCTAGGAGGGGTGGAGCCTCCCCGCCCTCTTCTGATGGAAAAAAAATTGCATGTACAACACGCGGACGGAAAGGGGTGGAGCCTAACTGCCAATCACTGTATGTCTACTTCACTGTATGTCTAATGCACCATCTGGAAAGGGGTGGAGTCTATCTACTTATCGCCGTAACAATAAACTTTTAAAATACAATAAATTGTTTCGTTGAATTATTTCCTGTAAAACGTTACGTGTACAGAAAAGTTCTGCTTACTTTGACTGTGTTTTTCGTTTGTCAATTATACGATCAACCATAAATTTAAAGGTTAACTTTTAAATTCATTTTTTTTCGTCACGTGGATTTTATTGGTGTTGTGTAAGAACCTGTTACTAATGATTTACACATGTTTATCCTCTATCTTAGAGACTCAGTTTTTACAATGCATTTGACGTCGCATTGAGTGTTTGTTTTACTGGTTTTGTGCAGAATTCTCGGAAATTTTTCTTACATCAAAGTCTGAACTTTTGACGGAGGTTATAGTTTCTCCTGGGTCTGGCCATGACAGCAAAATCCGATAAAAATACATTTGTAGCAATTATATTCCACTTGTGGTTACGCGAATAAAGCAACTACATTAAATGTGTATTTTTGCGAATTATGTGCATCGAATTTTTTAATAGACGAATGCATCTATACGTGGTAACTTATACGCATTCTAGGCCCTGTAAACCCCCCCCCAACTCTCTCTCTCTCTCTCTCTCTCTCTCTCTCTCTCTCTCTCTCCAATGTATCTGGACGTATCTTCCTTATTTCTATTCCATTTTTATCTTCGAGGCAATAAGTAGAAGTGGGGAGGAGTCATCTCATTCTGAACTTTCCTCAGAAATGAACCGAACAACTACATCATAAGCCATAATATTATGTGGAAGATTCGCTTGCGATGAATCGAACCATTTTAACTGGCGTGGAGTTCATAATGGAAATTGGAAAGGTGCGTCTGACAAGTCTAGAACTGTGTCTTTGTCTCTTTCTCTCGGTGTGTAAACCACCCGTTATCTAATGATTACCTCCCACAGCAATTAAGTAACTAATTAAGTGAATGCTGATCTCACCTAACCTGTCTTAAATAACTGACTGTGGCATCACGTTTTGTTTTCATGCACGTGAACTCTGAATATTTTTTCCATAGATAATAAGGAGTCTCATATTTGAACTGCTTGCACTTAAACTGTAATAATAAGAATTGGTCGAAACAACGTTGTACTGAGTGCGCTAAGGTGAAAAATGCAGATTGTCATTTTTGAACCACAACTTTGAAGCGTATTATCGAGGCAGTGTCAAACCAAATAAAACCAAAAGAGCCACGATACCAACCCAGAATTGATTTAAGCCTTTTAAGTAAGCTATTGGCAGTTGATTCAGGATATTGTCACCAAAACTCCTTACTTTAGCCTAAAAACATTATTTTGGGTAATAGATAAATCCCCAGTGTTCAGTAACTAAATTAATTGACATTTACACATTTCATCGTACGGGTGACGTCATTACTGTGATTTTTGGGCAAAAACTGAAAATCGGTTTCTCATAATGCTCCTTTACCTGACTACCCACGATAACCGTTCTAATTTAATGTCACTATTTAATACCTCAAAACCCTGCCAGCGATTTTTATTAATTGCCTTAGTTCATAACTCCACAACAAAAGTATTTAAACCAAAATGCCGGCAGGGGATTGTAGCACATACATTTGTGATCAACTCTGCCAATTTTTGTGATAAAATCTTGTTCAGGGATGAAGTTACGATTACTTTCTCACCTCAGAATAAAAGGGTGTTAAACTGACGATGAAAGCTTTGAGTTGCCAGTGCTGATACATTGCAACAGGAAATATACCAGGATAAAATATTCTATATTTTCGAGAAGATATTTTGTGGCTTTAAATCAGCACAAAGATAGATGCATTATTGAATAATTTGATGCAGGAAAATCCTCCTTTTCGGTATCTGGATGATAATAAAGGGTTACAATACCCTTAAATAGATGGCTATTCTCTGTACTGTGACCCTGTGGTGAAATCTCAAGGATGATTACATGGCTGGCAATTGTTTGCATAACTACTCAGGCACGGTCACTTACGACGTCCCGGTCCTCTACCAGGGCCACAGTTTGATTTTTCACGTGATATTCATAGATAGATAAATAAACATTGATTCTCTGCCACCCTGTGTAATAAAGGGTTACAATTCCCTTAAATAGATGGCTATTCTCTGTACTGTAACCCTGTGATGAAATCTATGATAATTGCATGACTAGTTGTTATTTACATAACTGCTCAGGCACTGCCACTTAACAGACCCTAAGCCAAGTCCCTTTGACAGCAACCAAAACGGTTAATTGCTCATCTGTGACAATAAAAACAGCCCCTTATGAAAAGCTTGTTACTTCAGGGTGCTACTGTACTTTAAACCATGTGATTGTTTTCAGCAGACAGACAAGACAGGTTGTGTAACGAACGCTAAATACATTGGTGTGAACCCCAGCTTCCACTGTGCTCCTGCAGAGCGGGCACAATGTCATCAGCACGCGTGCGGATTTAATTGCTCCCATCTGGCTAACAAAGTCACGGGGTCGCCTCAGCAAAAATGTCCACAGATTAATTACTGCGGTACTGGTAGGGGGTACCGTTATGTAATAATCATCTCCGACAACAATTAAGTAATGACCTTTATTCACTGAAGATATTTCATAAGCTGCCTAAAATAAATGACAAAATCACGTTTGGTTATCAAACACGTGAACTCGGAAGATCTTTCCAGATATAATAAGGGGTATTCCAATTGCATAAATACATTATAGAACCTTGTCTTTATACACTACTCTATTTTTCCCTTGATATAAGTTCGAATATCAATTTACGATCTTCTTGGTGCGTTGAGAATGTGGACGTGCCATCGGCTGTTTATCGCGTCCGGTTGCACCAGTACATCGTAACTATTATCAATAAAAACAATCATTGCCATAACAATGACGTAACCATGACATACCGTGATGTTATCATGACATAACCATGATGCTACCATGACATAACCATAACCAGTGACAATATCAATACGAGTCAATTACGACATTACGGACACAATTTTTGAATATCAATTAAGTTACCGAAGCAAAATAAATTGCTATTCAAGTTCTAAGCTATTGGTAGATGCATTGCTTCCTTGACTATCCATGTTTACGCAAAACAAGTCTCTGATTTTTATGAATGCATATAAAATATATAATAAGATGAATATAAGATAAATAACTGAAGTACTCACGATCTCCGTCCATTGCTTCCATAGCGTCCTTGAGTTCAAAATATGTTGGTCGTTCGCCGAGCGATCTGAGAACTTCTCCCAATTCTTCCGTGGTAATCATCCCATTTCCGTCCTTGTCAAACACATTGAAAGCCTCTTCAAATTCTATTAGTGTACAACGGAAAAGATTTGTTTTAATCGAGGAAAACCCCATTGGAAATTTAGGTTATGTTTTGCAACACGAATACGACTTTATTGAACAAAATCTATCAGAGTTATGGCATGTTTATATCATTAGTGTCTTTTGAAAGCAGTATCCAAGACCTGAAGAGCGATGAACGTCCATATAAAAGGCTGAATTCAACAGAATGTGTTTCATCCTTGGCATTTATTATCAATAATTCGAAAAAATGTCAATTTAGTTTGGTGTTTTTAGATAAATCCGAGCAATGGGACGACCCAAGGGGCTTCAAAGACAGGATCATGGAACGTTTTCTGTCAGTTTTATTAAATCTCCATATAATTGTACGATTTGCTCCGCCAGTGTTCTGGAGTTACTGGTAATAAGCGTTAGAAGATTACATACTCTGTATTTTAAACATTGTCGTGATCAGGTTTGTCTTTATTTCGATAGGCGTTTTGGTGACAAATAACACATGAATTTATTATTGAATATATTACTGTACATACACGTAAAATGTACGTCTTGCTGCAGTCATATTTAGCTTCTTTTAACAACTGAGAAGAGTTTGCTTCTATGGATGCTATTACTTTGTCCCTTGCTGGCATCCGTTTCTTCTCCGTCAAAGGAAATTAACAATTGTTGTACATGAGCCTGATCAGAGAATAGGTACGGATGACATGCCTCTTTAGTATTTTCTAGAAGAATGGGAGATAAATTTGGCCGAACATGTTGTATCATAACAAAAGTTGACTTTCTGCACAATATTTACATTGATTAATCTCTTCAAATCATAATTGTAAACAATAAGTCATCTTTAACCCAAAACTCAGCTTTGGGTGGCAAAAAACCAATTGGAAAAATCTTAGCAGTAGCGTAAGGTCTGTCCTCAAACTCGATGAATTATTTTAAAGGAAAGATATGAGAAGGCACGTTGGGTCTGAGGACGTGAATGATAAAAATCGGACTTTCGTATTGTTGTACTCAGACATCTGAGTATTTCTCTAAATTAGATCAAGGTCGAGGTCAAATAAGGTCAAGGTTGGCTTTACGAACAACAACTCTAGAAGAAACAACTATGCAACAGATTAGAGCATTGAAGTTCATTGTTTTTGGCTACGATGAAAAGACGTACTGGCTTATATGATTAGAAAAACCTCTTCAGATCAGACATTGCAATCCGCATGATCTTAATCAACAAGACAACAGAATCTTCGAAAACGTATTTTCTGCAATCATAGCAGTTCGATCGTTTGTCTCCGGTGCAGTCTGAGATACTCACACACGTCAAACATTGTCTTTCTCGACTATCAAATATTATTATAAGGCCCTTGAAGGAAAACAAGTGGTAGCCATAGGTCTTATATTTACAGAGGAGAAAAAAATGAGAAAAAATTAAAAGATAATATAAAAAACAAAGAAATGATAAGAATAAAGTGAATAAGAACAAAGACAAAGAGTGCTTAATACCCCATTTGTGACACGGCTGTTTATACAGTATATAAACAAATAAAAGAACACACAGGCAGACGGTCTTAGACTGTGTTCCAATATCTTTGCAGTCTGCATGTATGGCGGCTCTTACCTTTTATTTTGTCTGTGGTGAAGCCGTAGTCAGATTTGGCTACCACCGGCATGCTTTGTCGTCTTGTTGTCTGAAAAAAAAAATAATTATGTTTATTCAGCTGATGTATACGTACAAAATATAATACATTTATATTATATTAGAATTTTGAATACTGACGGAGCTTTTAAAGGTAATTAAGATAATAATGATAGAATAAAAAATCCTGAATTTTATGATGGGAAATTACATATATATAATGAAATCAACCAATTCATCGAATGACAAAGATCACATTTCATTCAAGGTTGTCCATCTTAATTGTTTGAAATATAATAAAATGTTGTTTAAGTATTTTGATGCACGTACTGCTCAAGTTTCACAACACTATGTTTCAATACGTGGATTCATACGTTAATGCACCTAAAAGCCAGATTTAAATACTATAAGATGCGATTATGGTATTAATCGATTATATTCCCAAACGGTTATAAGGCGACATGAAGGCAAATATTTTAATGGCCTCCAAACAGAAAAAGATGAAGCAAGCAGGACAAACTTTACAACATTTGACACTGTGTTTAAGAAAAAAGAACACACAGGCAGACGGTCTTAGACTGGGTTCCTATAAACCTATCGCACCAACAGGATCGATCTAAGGGGAGGGGATTCTTGTTAAATTGCATTTAGTTTAAGAGGCTCAAATGTCTGTCCCACCCACTGAAGCTGCTAGGGGGTAATTAACTTCTTTCGCGCTTAAACTTTGCTCGCTGGACAGTAGGCTTCGTTTCATTACTTGTGATGGCAGTGAGCAGACGGCGTGGAGAGAACAGTTTTCATCTTGCTTTGTCAGTAAAAACATTACTTTATCGGCCATAGTTGGGTTTATGCATGAACATGTGGTTTTCTGTGTGTTTTCTGCATGCAGAACTCGTGCACTTATTACTGACCCGGGCTTTCAGTTGATATGCTGGTATACAGGTCAGCAGATTTTGTTTCCAGGTTGTAGGTTTGACCCACCAAAGCATGTCAGTGGAGAGGTATGCTCACTCATTGGTATATTTGTGGTATATATGTAATGCTGTTTATTACCAGATTTACAAATTGTTTGTTATTGCTCTTTGAACACAACAGCTGACCGCATGGTATAGTGGTTAGAGTGTCCGCATCCGCAGCGGGAGGACGTGGGTTCGAGCCCGTCCGAGGACACAGCGGTCTGAAGTATGTAATACTTTCAGTTTCTCCCCTTGGTGCTGTTGTAGTTGCTTTTGTTCATGATGTGCCAAGGAGTCAAAAATTCCTTAATATGGAATCGTGGTGACTCTTTTGTAGAGATAAATCAAGGGATGAAGGGATGTGTAAATGGAGTCAATTGTGACCCTCTTGTAGGGTCTGGGATGGCATTACTCCATTGGAGTCAACTTGACTCCAATTGCGAGTTATTTTAGGCACCACTGCTGGACTCCAAGTTTGGAGTCACTTGGACTCCGATTTTATTCGCAGTGTGGGAATGGTCCCTTATATTTGCTTCAGATTACGATGACGGTTCCTACAACCACCAAAATGTGACTGATGCCACGGGGTCTATATATTTTCAATAACAATTGTTTAAAATTAATTTACAACGAGTGCAAGACGCTGAACCAAGCCTTTAGATAAAAAACTAACAAAATATTAATAATAACATTTATAGATTTCATAACTGATTTCATAACTGATTTCGAATCATTGTATCTTGAAAATTAAAAAAAAATTGGCGTTCTTTGGACTTCTGTTCCCTGGGCATTTTTTGCCTTTGTTTGTGCTCAGCAGCAATGATTTTATCCAGGGGTGGATGGTATACTGAAAAGGCATAACAATACGTTTGCATATTGCCAATAGAAATTGAAGTTTAATTGAACTATGTCTGAGTCAACTGTTATTTCAGAAATTGAGTAATAGGTTTTATTTTGTGTTTTTTGCAACATTTAGACGCAAATGAAGTTCCTGGAGAAGGATGCTCTTATAGTTTTATGACGGTATGCCCTTTACTTAATTTTCCTTTCATAGGAAATTGGTGTTTACTTCAAATAGTATAATTACGATCCTTCAAAGGAGAAATATACTAGCAAGTAAAAGGAAATAATACTAATAATAAGAGTTCATAATGCTATAGTTCATAAACGTTTGAGGCCCTTCCATACGCTACTGCAATGCTTAGTTGAATCATGGGTGTTATAGCCCAAATATAAGTAGAAATGTGCTTTTAATGGAAGTAGTCGCACTAACATTAAGAGGTGACACCGTGATGTTGCTATTGATTACATGTAAGCATTTGTCTGTAGGAACCCGCACGGGATGACCACCTTAGAGCGACGCAGCGAGTATTAAAACTAGACTTAAACGTCTGTCAAAAGCAATCGCGTGCCTTACTGAACGCCAAAACATCTATGTTTGCATGCGTTGAAAGCTTTACTTGGAAAATGCGGTTTACTGCAAGTAACGTTTTTCCTAAAGACAATCTATTTTCGGCTGTTCAAAAGTAGTTTCTAATAACACATCCTTAAAGTCAATAACCTTAAATGTCGGGTTATTTTTACTTACGTCTACTACATAATGCATTCAAATTACAAAATTAAGTGGTAGATTTGTATTCTTGGATGTAATAAAGAATATATTGTATCCTGAACCTTTGAAAACATCACACAAATCAAAATGGCTTTACGTTGCCTATTGTGTCTTGGTCTCTAAAAGCCAAAACTGAGGGTGGCAACGTCAGTTGCATAAAGTCCACTGTCTCATCTCTCTTCCCTTAATATGCTATACATATATATGTATATGATATTGAACAATTGTGACTTCATCGAACAAGCAAGCAGGTGAAAAGCACAGGAAAAGATGATGATTAAAAACGTAAATTGACGTAAAGAGACAGAGAGGTGACTGTCATAAAAGCAAAAGACATGTGTAACAGGAAGGGAAGTCCGCTAGGAACCGTAGTCCGTTTCCCATTACTTTCTTAAGGTGACATTCCTCCCATATACTAACCCCAGCTAATCAATATACTAATCATATGGGAGCCCGCGGACTTCCATTCCTAAAACTTACATTCTCGTTACACCTGGATTAGTTGTCCCTCTATATTCACGCACACCATACCCGGATATATATATATATATATATATATATATATATATATATATATATATATATATATATATATATATATAATCAAGTTTTTGGTGTTTGCACATACTTGGAAAGTATGACTCGCATTGAAATACACAAAAAAATATGCGCAGGCAAATGAACAGACATTCAAAAACACATAATTCAGTCAACGAGGCACTATCTATCTACTTTTCACCAATACATTCTTTTTATTAACATTTCCCTTTGCTTCAAAATGGTAAACCACAAAAGAGTATATATTTGGATTTTAATTGGCAAACTCCCACAGCGTGAATGAAATGTAGGCCTACTTTGCATCAGTTGTCAAATAAAGATCTCTTGTACCGGTGACATTCAAAGTTCATGTAAACGCCAACGCATACTTGGAAAGGACAGGTCATATAAGTACGCAGGTGCCAAGCTTCTTTTGAAAGTATAATTAGACTTTTGAAGGCTTTTGTTTAGCCTATTTCAACGTTCTTGGCAATGTTTTCTTGACTTATAGCAGGTCCTACCGAAATATTCTGAAATAAAGCCTATTAAAATTCCGTTTTTATGTATGGAAGACATGATCTAAAGCAAAACTGGCCTTTACAGCAAACGGTAAATATAAAAAAGAAAAAGAAAAACTCCTGTCCGAAATGAAGCAGACGATGCGAGCAGTTGTCTACGCTTATAACCATGAGTTCGTGGGATGAATGCAACTTGTTGTACAGATATGTCGAGACGATAAAAAGACTACAGGTTGATTATTTATGCCAAGGTTGATCTGAAAAAAAAAACTCTCTTTTTTTTCTCAACTAATTCCTGTAAGACATTCTTCGCTGTACATTCCTATATATAACCGTCTAAATCAGTCAGCCTCGCGTGCCCAAAGCAGGCATTCTACAATTTTGATATTAATAACTGACCCTCTGAGAACCGTGTCAAAGAAATTTCAAACTAATCAGTCGCATGTTCTAGAGCATTTGTTATTTTGAAAAAGAAGGCTGCGGAGACCTCTTTGACACTTGTTTATTATGCCCTTTTCTCTTCATTCAACGGTACGACAAAATTGATCTCTTCTGGCGTAGGTGGTTCGCTTTGTATGTCAGGTACTGTTTCTGGACTTAGAAGTGATTAGTGTCAATCTTGAAACACTCCATTTATATCAACTATATTTGTCATTCGTCTTCCAACAGTTTAATCATGGTCGAAACAAGCGAAGGAGTTATTTGTCAGCATGGAACATGTATTTGAATCGATTCGTATTACAGGAGCAAAATACTGTATATCTACCTTGAATCAATCAAGCAGGACTGAAATTAGAAACAGAAGATTTACTTGCACCTTAACCAAACCACTCCACAAAATTCTAATGAGCGTCTACTTTACGTCGGCTTGTAAAAAATGGACAATGATAAACTCATATTGGCCTTGATGATATAAGATAATAATTGATGATATAAGAGTGAATCTGTTGCTAAAGTGTTTACTGGATCTAATTTGTTGCTTTGACGTACGCAACTGATTTCGGTACGTTCTGATTTGTTCATTATCGTCATTATCGTCAATAAACATCGTCATAGTATGACATCATGCTGATGCATCAAAAATAAATAAATAAATAAAAAGCGGGGACAATTTTTCTAAGACGAATTGATAGCACGACAACAGCTGTTTGGGATGAAAATTGTAATATTGATACAGACGAATCTTCCTCACCTGAACAGCCATCAACATCGTCTTAACACCTATCGATTAAAACAACTTGTACTACAATCTGGTGTTAAGGAATATTCTTGAAAGGCTTACTGTCGACTCCATTGGTTAGGAGGCTATAAAATGTCTTTCTTTACAGAGCCATCGCCATTATGAGCTTACGTATATCTCAAAAACGAATATATGTAGACTAATATTTTGAAAAGCCCAAACGTAGGCACAAGGTTGTATTTTTTGCCCTTGCCGTCGACTGAGATTTAAATGATTTTCATGATAATATATTATACTAAGTTACGTCGGAAACAGGTCCTTATCTCATACCATTTACAAAGCCGCAACATTGACAATTTTAATTAAAACGCTCGGCCATTCTCTGTGCAGATAGAAGTATGTGTGGAGGTGAATAAAGCAACAGTAAAGGTCATTTGTGCTTTAAATGCGTTTACTTTTATTGCATTGATACTGATATCAGTATTTCACATAAAGAAACGGAGACAGCCATTTTAACCAAATGTAGGCCTCTATGACGTGTCGAACCTCCTTCAAGAACCAATCAAACCAGCCCATTCCACCAAGATAACTGCCGATCGATATATTACCAACGTTTTAACCAGATTGTAAGCAGATCTCAAGAAACTACCTAAGTGTATTTATGTAAATATATGTTTGTTTATCTCTTCAAACACATCTTGACTGTTTGAGTTAAATGTGAAAGAGGGAGAAGTCACCTTGGTAGTTGGTAGTTTTACCCATTTTGCACTTCTGAGTCCAATTCACGGTAGATAGGACTCTTGTCTGCATAACCATATGGAACATCGAGGAGCGGTACTAGAGACAGTTTCAGATACCACAGTTGAGGGTGTTGGGGTTTAGACTATTCCAATCCATGCATATAACAAATTTACACATTGTCAAAGAAGGCAATTTAGCAGTCTATCTAAAACAAATACTATCAGCAACAGATAAAAGCAGAAGCAAACACGATCTACGAATCATCACACGAAAAAAGCTCAGTTATAAGGGACTTAATTACAATTCCTTTCTGTATTCTAATTCATTATTTAGGAGTCCCGTCAAAAGGGTACATTTTTCTTACAGTAAAATGAGTACAAACCCAGTTGCAAGTGTATCAGAAATCTGATTGATGTTGACGCGATAAGAAAAGGTCAAAGAGAAGGTCATCGACATCTCTCCTGTTCGATTAGATAGATTCCTAACTGAATTACATTCTCTCTTGTGCAATTGGAATACAGTATATTACCATTGAACATAAACAAGATTGAAAGTTGGGAGTTGGGAGCCTTTGCATCCTAGCTGGCTTACGAATAAAACCCCATCAAATAAAGCGGAAATTTTATACTTTTACAGATATCAAAAAGATCTTCATTTATATCATTCTGTCAAAGCTCTGCACAACTACCATGAGACATGGAAAACGCTTACTTGGTCTGGCATCTCCCTGATCTGTGTCACGGCTAGGGGCTCATTCCCAATGAAACTATGGGTCTGTGTAGATCAATCCAACTCCGTAGGGACTCTCGATTAATTCAATCAGATTAAGAGAATAATATGCTTCCTCCCACAGAAAAGGTAGTAGTAATACGGGAACGTTGGAAACAAGAGGAAACTTGTTTATCTTTTAATTTGATTGCATTCAGCGATAGTCCCCGCGGAGTTGGATCGTTTTACGTAGACTGATAGTTTCAGTGGGAATGAGCCCTTAGGCTAGCCCAAGGGGGAATCCCGTTGGCCCTTTCATCGGATAAGGCCACCTGGAGCTTCTTCAAACCTGGCTACAGCGTTGCCAACGAGCAGCGCGCTACGTGGATTTGTTTGCCTGATGCAGAAAGCTTTGGGATGTCTTTTCCTGCATAGCATGTACACTGTATATACACTGTGCTTCGTGTTTTATTTTCTGTAAACAATTGTATACGTTTATGGTAGGTTAAATTCACTTTCAATTTCTCTTAGAAAACGTCTATATGTTTCCGATAATTTGCCCAAGTTTTCTAACATGGCTTGATATCCATAAAAGTATTATGCTACATGTACATCCTTTATAAATGCTACAAATTCGTTAAAGGTATTTGAACTAAAATTCCTGTATATGGTTCGCTTAAAAAGTAAGGAGATAGATGTATAACCCCGTTTCGCTTACTTATCAATACCAAGTAATATAGAGCGTGCCTTTCAATGACAACTGGCGTAATCTTTCTGCAATGTATCTAACCAGCCTTAACAATTAAGAAGTAAAGAATCGAGATTGGGCCACTCTCTGTTGTAATGAAGGACGTCACTCACTGGGCGAAGAAAATAATAACCATTTCATCCCAGACCGTACCGTCATCAGCATTTATTTAACAACAAATGCGGTTCTGGAAATTAGATTTAGCGGCAAGCGTGGGCAACGAGCAGACCGAGCAGACAAACATCGGCTGCGGGAATTAATTGTACTCATTACAAAACAAAATAGGAAACCTTATTTAAGAGTCGTAATTGAATCAAGGCCATTTTTATCTTACAATGACGTGCCTACACCAACGTTTCGGCACACGTTTATTTATATACCGAACTAATGAACAATTAAGCGTATCGTAAACTCACAGCATTCGTTACTGGGAAATATTTCCCCTGACATTGTGTAACTATGTATGCTACTCAGTCTATGCAACGGTATTAAAAACACACTGTTGTAATAGGCCTGGGAAAACCTATAGACGTGGCCTTATTCTTTCGCACCTGTTGTTATGTATCATTCATTTAATTGTTGCGATTTATTTACTGCGGACGGAAGGCCGCGTACGTTACTCTATGTAACCGTTTTTTAATCCTCCAACTCGTCCAAAATTACATGTATGATAGACTACGTTGCTGTCGGTCCAAGGTGTCGCTGCAAATTGATTATCGAATGAAACAATATAACTTTCACGGTAGCTGGCACTTTCCAGCAGCAGAACCCAAAAATATTGTTACTGCGTGTGCATTGGAGATGTTGCTCAAAGTCGAGGTTTGCGTATTGGGCGCTATATAATTGTGTGTGTGTGTGTGTGTGTATGTGAGAGAGAGAGAGAGAGAGAGAGAGAGAGAGAGAGAGAGAGATAAACGCAGTAGAAGGCAATACCATGACTTTAAAACAATTAAACAACATATCGATTTGGTGGGCGGGTGACGACGTTTTACCACCTTCACACCAATTTAACACCAGAAACGATTATTGCTCTTTAACTGACCAAAATGCAGCTCAAACCCAATATTGTCAAACGGCCTCCATCAGCACGCTGTATTAGCAGTAATTGAGATTGAATCTGATTACCCAAGCAGCAGACCTCACGGAGTTATTGTAATGGGCGGTTAATATGATAGCTGAGTGACGCCAGGGACGCTGAGAGCTAAAGAATCAGTTCACTGGCTCTAGAGCGACCAGGGACTTGCCGTGGGGAATATATCAGAGGGGTTTGTCTTGAGGCAAATTCAATCCGAGAGCACATTCAGAACAGCGGACCAACATATTCGCATAACAAATTCGGCGACCCACTAAAAAGCTTGTTGCATAAATCCCGATCAGACTCTGAATAGATACCCCGCGGGGATAAGGCAACAAGCATTGGAGTGGGTCGGTCATATTTGATCCGCGGATCTGTTAGACCGCTGTTGTGAATGCGCTCTGAGTGAATCTATATGTACGCCTGAGAGGTATAGACACAGCCCGGGGGCCGCTATATGAGCCGAAATCATGCTCCAGTGGGATGTGTAATATGCGGTTGTCACCTTGGTGGTTGCAATTGAAAAGCATACTACCGGTAGTTATTAGGCAGCTGAGAACAAGTTGCTTCCATGGAAATTCTGATTAATTACTTAGAATTTCCTTCATTTCCAGGACTCGTTGCTTTCAGTAACCTTTTCAGTTAGTTTTACTTTAAAGATTCATCGTTCATATAATATGACACAATTGGCCTAAATCAAATAAAAGACAGTTGATAAATACTGAATAAAACAAGAGCTTTTTCAATAAACATGCCATAAGTTGGTACCGAAGAATAATTGCTTGGGTTTTTATTTCATGGGGCTTTAAAGCAGTTAACGGAAGCTCCCTGTGTGTGCATGTGTGCGTGCGTGTGTGTGTGTGTGTGTGTGTGTGTGTGCGTGCGTGCGTGCGTGTGGTCGGTGGTTTAAAGACTATTAATAGGAGGTGCACTCAAAATATTACGTGGACACAGAAACTACAGTGTCATGGATTTCTTCCCAAATATATGGCACTGGGGTTGAGATCTTGAATTTTTAGTGTGCCTCAGACAAGGCTCCCTGCATGACACTGAAATTGAGACATTCACCGCAATAAAGATCCACTCCCTTTTGAAGGTTTTGGTTAAAACTGTAGTTGCGCTCTTGACTTGAACACTTTTTAGAAATTAAGATTGAAAATATAAAACTCAAGGAGGTAATGCATTCAACATGTACACGTCTGGCCGAGGCTTGGGTAACCAATGTTGTCATGGTAACCAATGCTGTCATCTATGATTTAGATAATAGTTTCTTTAGGACGGTTCCTTCCTTACGTACGGATAAAAAAGCCCATGCCAAGTTAATCAATATTTCAAGTTGTACCATCCATGTTCAGGGCAGGGCGTAGGTGTGGGAGGGTGGTGGGAAGAAACGAGCATAATTGGGTGCTTGATTATTCGTGTCAGGATAGGGCAGCATCAAGGCGGTCACCGTTCATTTTCTTATTACCTATCCTTTTCTTCTAAAACTCCGGGTTTCCTGCTAATCCAACTATGCCCTAGACTTACCATTTTGCCTCGGGTCGCTGTTGGGTTGTCCACGTGCCTTGTACCGGATACGTGTCAGCCAGGAAAGCTTCCTATTCCAACCGCCTCCTGCAACCTATTTTTTTGTCTTCGCCTGGCCTGGTCGGATGGCAATGTATTTCCTAACCGAGTTTTTTTCCTCGTTTTTATTCCCTGAAGCCTTTTCTTATCTCTCACAGAATCTTATATTAGTCTTCAACGCCTTGGTACATGTACCTCTAACGGGGTTTCAATCTTTTTTACTTGAATCCTTTCCTAAATACCAATCTGTTTTTGATGTGTAACTTCTTAGTTTTTATTGTTTTTTTTTCTTTTCTAATCCTTTCCCTGCCAATCTGTTTCGCATATTAATCGCTTGGTATTATCCCACTGAAATAACTTGCGTTATCTCAAGCCGTTTCTCCAGATGATGATATTAAGTAGAACGACCTCTCATTATAAACACACGGTAGCCAGTATCATAACTAACCTCCCTGAAATCTTGTAAGGTATTTGCTGGCTTTTAGCGCCAGGTGCTCTGACATAGCTTTGCCACAAACAGCGGGACGGATATATATATATATATATATATATATATATATATATATATATATATATATATATATATATATATATATATATATAAAGTAGTTAACACATGTTCTTTGCATCGGTTACCAGGTTACAATAGACATTTTCTGTATTAAATACCTCGTCTTGGATGAAAGATACCATTGCCTGTCTGTTTCTGGGATACCTCAGAAAAAAAAGGTGAAATGCCGGCTGAGAAAGTAAATATACCTTGTTACGAAAAGATCAAGATGATCAGAGCAGAGAGAAGGTACTTCGTGTGAGTTATTTGGTTACCTTTGGCCCAAATCATTTATGTTAAACCCAACTCAATTCCTTGCCTCCATAAATCAAGGGATGCCGGGGTGAAGATGATGTTTTTGTCCCAAAAATGATGTTTTTGTCCCAAAAATTCCCAATATTACCTCACTCGATGAAGTTGGAGCTGTGGTTCAAGCATAATTAGATGTTTTGAAGATACATTAAATGAATGCAACAGGAATAAAAAAACTTAGACCTTTAATTTAGGATAAAATCTCCAACCTGCAGTCCGACCTTAAGAGATCGAAGCATCCACCTGTGTGCTATTAACACAGTGCTATATCAGGTACATATGTAGACTGTACTTAGAGATCACATCCAGGTGGTGTTTGAACGGATTAGGCACATTAAATATAGTAACAGAAACACAAGTAGGCCTCGTGTTCTGTGTAACCCCTGCGTTAATATTTTCTATTGGAGTTCCATTTTCTTCTTTTCAAATTGCAGGCTGGAAGACAAGGGAATGACACCCTAAAAATGAACATTTTTCAACGATTTGAGAAATAGATGAGACTTGAAACACAAAAATATCTGTTTGGTTTTATAAAAATTATAATATATTTTTTTTTAATATGGCTCATTGCACATGTCATTGGAATCCACGGGCCCAGGCTTCCTAGATAAAGACGCGAGTAATAAGTGGGTAGGGGAGGGGGAGAGAAAGACTGCCACAGCTTTTGCTGATAATATTTTGCCCCCCCCCCCCACCACCACCATCTCTAACACACACCCGTCCCCACCCCACTCGTGCATAAGAACGTGATTCTATATGGATATGTTCAATGTTCATGTGGAATACAGACAAGATTGACATACGGCTAGATACTACACATGCCCATACACCGGGGAGATTGGTTAACTTGGCATGGCTTAGAATAATTTAATTCCCGCAAATTATGCGATTCTGCAAGCCTTTAATTGTGCTTGATTGGAGAAATTGGATTTTGGTTTCTATGTGCAGTGGTTCTCTTACGTCAATCCTGTATGATGTGCATGTGTGTGTGTGTGTGTGTGTCAGTGTGTGTATGTGTGTGCGTGCGTGTGCCTGTGTATGTGTATGTGTGAGTTGAGCGCACGCCTGCATATGTGTGTGTCTGTGCGTGTGTGAATAAGAAGACCTCACGATCAAAAAAGATCAAACTCTTCACATATCTAGCCATATCTTTTTTTTTCATTTTGGCATACCGTCAAATTAAATTCCACCGTTAATATGTCTGTCTGTGCATTAAGGTCCCCACCATTGTTGTTAAATTGCGGTAAATCGTTACAGGCACATTTCCTTTCATTCCGTGACATAAAATTCGGTTTCTCATATTGGCACAGGTGATCATGAAATGTCATTAAAGCCCCGGAATAAGTTGTGGTCACAAATTTTAATCAGTTCATCTAGATCTGTCATTTTCTGCACGACAGTGTATTATTTCCACTCCATGTCTCCGCCTCAGGAAATTGGTTCGTCATAATCAACCAGTGCACAAACTGCCAAATCTTATCTCTCCCATCTATAGTGGTTTCAGTCTTGTAACAGTTAGGGTTATTTCTTGTCAGTCAAATCAGAATGAAAATATATGTGCAACTTGGCAACAATGTAGTTTTTAACCGAATTTTGATTAGTTTTGGCACAGTTAAGATGATTCCAAGTTTATCTGTTATGCCACGTATGCCTTTAGTACTCTATCAGAGTCAGATAATCTTCAGGAATTCAATAGCTATTCTCATTTTAGCCATTTCTCGGACTAGTTTTAACATTTTAATTGAGTCTATGTTTATCTGTTATGCCACGTATGCCTTTAGTACTCTATCGGAATCAGATAATCTTGCCAGTTTTAACATTTTAGTTGAGTCTGTGTTTATCTGTTATGCCACGTATGCCTTAAGTGCTCTACCTCAGTCAGATAATCTTGCCAGGAATTCGATAGATATTTTCATTTGACATATCTTAGTTGTTTCTTTGTTTGAGAGATCATTCCCAGAGAATAGGTAGTAACTTTGGATCGATCTATCTCCAAGGGGGTTCTCACTATGTATCGAGCGCCCACTGAAGCTGTTAGGGGGTAGTTAACTTAAAACTATCGTCTAGCAGTTTCAGTAAGCGTGCCACACATATGAGCCGTTTACGCTTAAAGCAATTTAGCGAGAAACCCCTTGGAGATGGGTCGATCCAGTTAGATCGATCTAGGCATGGAAACCCAGTCTAACTGCTGTGACACATATTCCTTTGGTGTTTTATCTGAGTCGGAACCAATTTTCCCATGAATGCGTTAGATGTTCTCCGGGTAGGGCAATTCCACATTTTGTTTCCATTCTTAATCTCCTCTCAAAAGTGATAGCTCTTATTTAAAAAGATTAAATCAGTTCTGGGTTGGTATCGTGGCTCTTTGGGTTTTTCTTGTTTTGACACTTCCGGCGCGCTTCAAAGTTGTGGTTCAAAAATGACAATCAGCATTTTTCACTCTGGCTCACTCAGTACAACATTTTTTTCCTCCAATTTTTTTTATTTTTATAGAAGGAAACAAAACATCCAGTATATACAATTATATTGATTATTATTTTTCACAGTCAATATTTCATGTATCTTACATTTCTCACTACGGTTATTGTAAATAGAGAGTTTTATTTTTGGCACGCCAGCAATGAGAATATTCTGAACATCATTCGTCTTGCATTTTGTCAAAATAAAAAGGAGGCACGTGCAGATGGTCATTGTGCTTCATTTGCGTGGGGTTTAACCTGTTTGGATAAAATATGAGATGCTCTACTTTTCGATGCAATTACGTGCAAAAGTAATCACCGATAAATCCTTAAATATCAATTAATTCCATCTTTGCTGATAGTGTAAGGCAGCCTAGGAAATGTGTGGGGTTTTAGCCGTATATCAGGCATATGTTGCAATCATGCGAACCACACCACCTGCTGTACATTAAGAACACATGGTCCAAATTCTGCATCGAAATAAAGCAATATTTGTCACAGCTAACCAATATATTGCTTCAAATATGAGATGTTACAACAGATTTATTAGTGCTACTGCTCGTTAAAAAAAAAACCTTGAAAATGGAGCTCTCTTGCGTCCCATAATGACGATAAAGGGTCGTGATTACGTGCGATTGCAGTGTATGTTATTTCCTACGGGAAGAACAGAATTAAAGAAATTTAATTGAAAAACGCATTTCAATACTCTGATTAGTCCAAATGAATAAGGTGAAGTTCATATTGGCTATTAAAGGGAAAACATCGAAAGACACGATCAAAATCGGCCAAATGGAGCAAGTTAAGTTATTTTTTTTATTATTATTATTTATTTTATGTAATCAGCTGATTCTATGAAAGAAGGTTATGTTTAAAGTAAAAACTCATTTTCCACAAGAAGAATTGATAAGGCACGTGCGTTATTTGCCACATGTTGTGAGGATTTCCGCGTGTTTTGCGCATTAATTCAACGTTTTTGGTCACCTTCCGTGCTAGTTACACGCACCCTGTAGCTGACTGCGTGGGTAGCTGAGTTGTTTTGTATCGTGCAACACGTGACAGTAGGTGTCCATGCGCGTGCTTGCAGTTTTTTGGTGATGACACGTTTTTGTGGGAACGCGATCTCGTGTTTGAGTCAGGAAATAATATTGATATTTGAAACTGTCATCACTGTATTGGTTGACGAACCTGCGTCATAACTTTCACATTAATCTTGTATGTATTGGTGCATAAGGTAAATGTATATGCATGTAAATTACATATGCATGTGTTCACGCAAACACGTGTGTGTTTGTATGTATGTGTGTGCGTGTGCGCGTGACAGGGAAAGAGAAAGAGAGACACCCACACACACACACACAGAGAGAGAGAGAGAGAGAGAAATGAAGGGAGGGCGTACAGTGTATGTTTGAGAAGGTCGCTGCTGATTTCTTTTGCTCAGACTTTTTAAGGAAACGCACGTGTGCCAAATTTGTGGCAGAACAAGAATCTGTAGCGTCGTCGACAAACTAATAGTGTTTATGACAATGCAAAGATCCAATTTTAACCCCATAAGACCCATTTGATGTTAATTATATGACGATGTGAACGGTTTCACGAGTACCTTGTATACGATTGCTCGAGGAAAAAAACAAAATTTTCATTTCTTCGAAAATTAAACATAAGCTCTTTTGTAGGCGGACAAGTGTTTGTTATTCATGTTGAAAAATCTCTGAAACAATTACATCTTCCGTTGTCAGACGAAGGGATGTCCTTTAAATGTGTAGATGTCACACAAGCCTTCATTCTGTCATATTTTTTGATTTCATACAACTAATTTTCATCCATCATTTAGATTGATCCTTATCTTCTAACACCATTTCAAACAGTGGTGTCTTATATTCGTTTCAAGAACGTGATATTTTTAGTATTTTTCATTTCATGTTTATCCGGAATAAACGATACCCCGCCGTGATCAGCATCTTATCAATCCTGAACAGACAATCAATTGATTTCTTACATTAGTAATAATTTACCGTGATTAGATTTGTGTCTAAATATAGTGGACTTTGTGGGAGAAATAACAAGCTGTTATAACAAGCTGTCGCCTTATCATTCTTCCCAAAACAGGATTGCATTATTATAGACCAAACCCTAGG